ACCCGCCACCTTAGGTGTACGTGGCTGGCGCCTTAGCCGGTTGAGCTATAGGCGCCGAGCCAACTTAGGCTTATTCTAAGAGTACCATGTATGAACAGATAGGAAGACTCAAAAAATGCGAGTCTTATCCCTAGAAACATGAGGCCTAACTCCATCACTTTACTACTGTAACATGAGCATTATTTGGTGCAGAGAACCTCACCAGATTCACCTTTTCTATAAAAGGAGAGTGAGCTGAATAAACTGTGTTCCTTTACACTCAAAAACCACAAAAATCTCACCCTATAATTCAATTAACGTATTGGTATTAGCAAAGTCTTTTATAAAAATACCAGGACAGAACAACCATTCAATGTTAATATCCAATCACAAAACATTCACCACCCAGTGTTATCGTGTATAGCAGTACAATCCAGAGCCTAATGAGAAGGAAAGTGTATCCACCTGATAAAATTTTGCTATTACCTACAGACAGCCAAGACTACTTCCACCAATGTGCTTCCTCCTGGGAATGTAATTGAGGAAACCACCAACAGTTACAAAGTCTAACTACTGGGGCGGCACCTGTGGCTCAAGGAGTAGGGCACGGGCCCCATACCGCGGGGGTAGCAAGTTCAAGCCCGGCCCCAGCCAAAAAACTGAAAAAAAAAAAAAAGAAAGTCTAACTACTTTCCCAGTGCAGTTTCACTCATTTTTATAAGTAATTTAGCATTAAATTCAGCCAAAACCTACTTCAAGTATTGAAACTCTTTTGAAAAAGCAAACGTTATCTACAATTAAAAGCCATTATTGATTATAGAAAAGTTTAATGTGACAAAAAAAGGTTCAGGGGTGTCTGGCCTGCAGGCCACAGGCAAATTATTTGAGGAATATTGCTCATCTGTAGTGTCAGGTATCATGAGAAGTATGGGTCTTTCTTTTTTTTCCTGCTAACCAGCTTTCATTAGTGTTTGTGTTTTTAACATGTGGCTCAAGACAATAATTCTTCCAACAGGCAGATTGAAAAAAGGACGGACACCTCAGCAAATGTTCCAAAACACGAGTAATAGACCCAGGAACCTGGGAACCGTCCCCCAGACCCTGCACCGCACCTGTGAATGGAGCCTCCTGTGGAGCTCTGAAAACAAAGCAGCATCAGCGTCTCTTCTCTGGCGAGTAACTGGAAGTCAGAAAGTACACACACGTTAACCACCTGCACCAGCACCTGGTCACGACCCTGCTCCACAGCTCTGACCTGAGGGGAAGAAGCCCCTGCTTCAGTGAGAGGTCACCGTCAAGCTAACAGTGGGGGACCTAACAGCCACAGGAATCTGGTCAAGCCATTTAACTTCCCTGACCTGTGTACTAATAAAATACGAATGGTAGTAGATGGGATCATAGCATGCATATGAAAATTAAGTAAAAAATGAGAATAACGGGATCATTTAGATTCTATCTACAAAGGTGACAGTGAAGCAAACACTACCAATTCAACTGGTTGACAATGGCTACCTTGAGGTGGGGATGGAATGTGAAACAATAAAACTTATAAAATCATGATCCTCTATTTAACTTGAACCTCGCATTCTAAACATTTTTGTTAAGATACACAGCAATGTTTCATTTGTAGCAATCAACTGAGGTTTCAAATAAAATTCAAAATAGCACATTAATTTTCACCCACTAATTTGTTTTATTAATAAATGTTTTTGGATGTTCCAACTTACAAATTACCTGAAATCAACTTAACAAAAGAGAAGCTCATTCTGTGCTCTACTCCAAGGAGGGGAAGCTACAGACCATGTGTGTGGGGCTCCTCGGGGGAGAGACTCGCCTTCACAGCACTGCACACAGCACCTGCACACAGGCTGTGCACTGTCACAATCTGCCATGTGTCATGTGCACTCTCTGCCCAAACTTTTGAGGAACAGTAAGAATGTGGACTTGCATGGCTAATACAAATCCTGTATCTATGTTTTTAAATCTTCTATTTATGCTGATGTATTAAAAGTGTAACTACATTAAAAACTAAATGTTAAAATTCTTTTATAATATAAAAATGTACCTAACCATAAATAATAAAAATTTGAATTAAAAAAATAAAATGGAAGGTGTTTTTTTCCTGAAAGTTTGAAATGCGGGAGCACATCTCACGTGTGAGCACATCACATGCGGAGCACATCTCATGCAGGAGCACATCACACACGGGAGCACATCTCACATGTGAGCACATCACATGCAGAGCACATCTCATGCAGGAGCACATCACATGCGGAGCACATCTCACACGGGAGCACATCACACACGGGAGCAAATCTCATCTCATGTGGGAGCACGTCTCATGCGGGAGCACGTCATACACGGGAGCACATCTCACACGGGAGCACATCACACACGGGAGCACATCTCACATAGGAGCACATCACACGCGGGAGCACATCACACATGGGAGCACATCTCACACGGGAGCACATCTCACGTGGGAGCACATCACACGCGGGAGCACATCACACGTGGGAGCACATCACACGCGGGAGCACATCTCACACGGGAGCACATCACACACGGGAGCACATCTCACACGGGAGCACATCTCACATA